GATTCCCTGACATGAGCCCTCTACATGGCCCGTCAAACATCATGACAGCATACTCTTATGGAGACAATAGGAGAAAAGAGCCTCTAGCCCAGACTTCCACAGGTACTTCCATACTGCATGGGAGGACCTCTATGATGCCTCTTAGATTCCAGGAAATTCCCACAGGGTAAAACACAGGCCTACTCACCCCAAATGCCGGTCTGGGGTCATGTTATAATCACCCTGGCAAAGAAAATGACAATGAGGAAGGTGTCTTTCCACCCCAGCAACTTCACTCAAGCCAAGGACTTCCACTGACCGTGTAGACCACAGACTCTGAGCCCACTTTAATCTGGAACATGGCTGCCCCTAGTACATGGCCTGCATAGTATGCTTTGATTTCCAGTTCATCATCCACCTGCAGAAGAAAAAATGGTCTCAGGCCTGCAAGGCAGGGAGGAAGTAGGAAGTAGATGATTATCTTAAGCCTATCCAGTCCATTCCTGTTTCTCACAAGAAGTCTGGGGCTTAACCAAAAGCAACTACCCCTAGGGGTTGTAGCACAATAAAAACATAACCCTAGGTAAGTAAGGATCTAGAAGCCACTTCTCGACTAGACTAAGTATAGATAAAGCCACAAACACTACAAAAAAGAAATTCTAAAACTAGGAATTACGGTAACCCAAATTAATTCAGTAGGTATGCTAGGTGTGGTGGTGCACGCTTTTAATCCCAGCACTTGGGAAGCAGAGGCAGGTAGATCAAGGCCAGCCAGTGCTACACAGAGAAACCCTGCCTTGAAAAACAAAAAAACAAAACAAAAAAATTCAATAGGTGGTGATGGGTATTGTGGTACAAGCCTGTAATCCCAGCACTCTGAAAGCTAGGCAGGAGGATAGTATAAATTCAAGGCCAGTCTGGACTACACAGCAAAGTCCTACCTCAAAAAAAGAAAAGAACTGAAATAGGATTTAAACCAGTGAATAAAATCAAGAGAATAAATGACTAAAATGTTGAGGAACTGCACATGGTTGCATACAACTGTTATCTCAGTTCTTGAGTTTTTGGAAAGCTGAAGCAGGAGGATGGAGAGTTTGAGGCCAGCCTGGGCTGTGCAGTGAGACTGCTTCAAGAAAACTTTTTTAAAGAAAAATCCAGTATGAAGCATAACACAAAGAGGACAATGGAAGACTTAGAGTGAAAAGATGTAAAGTTACTCAGAGCCCAGGAACATAGGCAGCAAGAATCAGATATCAAGCTCCAGTACCACGCCAGAAAGTGGACTCAGTTTGTCCTGCATTTCAAAGTGTCTTTTTCGTATTTGTGGAAGAGGCAGTAAGACCATGAGATTTTATAGCTTAAACTGCAGGGTGGCTGAAGACTGACCAAGGTCCATCATAGCACAGCCTAAACAAAAGGAGCAGAGAGTATCCCAAATGATACGGGTAAGATAACATTCATCCTGGAACTCTGCATCTCATGAAAACCGGTCATGGAAGAGCTTCAGGGAAGACAAGACCACAGGGAGCAGAGGAAAAGGGGCTAGGTTGGAGGGCATGGTTTTTGGAATTGGAACATTCCCTCCAAATTGAAACATTTGCTCTAGGAAAGATGAGCAGGCTCAGAGCCTCGGGTGGTAAACAGGAGGAAAATGAAAGATCACATTCTAGAAGACAAGCTTGGAAGATTCTTTAAACTCCCCACCAACAGTATAAATGGGAGTAAATAGTTGCTGGGATTAGAGACTCACACTTTAATCCCAGCACTCAGGAGACAGAGATAGATAGCAAGTCTCTGAGTTCCAGGCCAGCCTGGTCTGTTGTTTTGGAGTCCCGGCCCTCCGGGCGTGGTGGGAGCTGACAAGCTGGAAGAAGCTGCTTGCTCTCTTGCTCTGGCTCTTGTTTGGCATGAGGGGAGACTGGGAATGGTGGAGAGACAGCGTGTGATCAGCGACAGTTTAGCCTTTCTCTGTACTTTGTGAGTTTGTCCTTTTTCATTGCAATCCCTTAATAAATCAATTTTATTTACTTCTGTGTGTTCACGCATTACCAGTCTACAGACAGACAGGACTACATAGAGAAACCCTGTATCAAAGAACAAACAAACAAATAAAAAAACATAGAAATCCCAGATGGATGAAAGAACAGAATCCAGTTTCTAAAACCCAGCTGGCCAGCCTTCCAAAGGTGAAGCTGCCTGATCCTCACAGCATGCAGCTGGCTTAACCCCAGCAGGCTTGGCTCCCATAAGGTCAGCAGTAGGGACAACTGGGTATCACCAGAAGGCCAAGACTTGGGGCAGCAGTTAGAATATATATTACTGGAAGGAATAACTCAAAGAATGATGGGACCAGTTCCTGGTCTGTGGGCCCCAGTAAAACCTCTGCCCGTACCAGACACCCAGGCAAACATCCTGGCGGTAGACCATAAAAATAATGTATCTCCGATCACCTCTAGGACTGTCAAAGGAGTCCTTACAGGAAGGTTACAATAGAAGGCAGTGTTTCCGTCAGCAGATTAGAACAAGAAAATTAACCTGGCATGGTAGACACTTACAGTCCTAATACCCAAGAGACTAATGTAGGAAGGAACATCACAAGTCTGAGGTCAGCCTCAACAATATAGTAAACCATGGTCTGAAAAACACACCAC